CTAATGAGCTGGAAACAGCAGTTGCATCTGGTAACTACCGGAAGCTCTTCCAACTCATCCAAGCCACTGGCAACACGAAGTCTGGTGTGAGTGAAACAATCTGTAAGGATGACGGGATGTCAATCACCAACATCCATCGACGTCTTGGACGATGGGCAGAATTCTTCGAAGGACAGTTCAACTGGCCTGTTGCTCCGGCAACATCGGTCAGATTGTCCTGCCCTCCATGGCCGGTGACGACTGATGCACCAAACGAGGAGGAAGTCCGCAAGGAACTTCAACTCTTGAAGCGCAACAAATCACCTGGCCCAGATGACTTACCTCCGGCTCTTTTTAAAGATGGTGGTGACTTTCTGACTAAGGAATTGACGACATTGTTTACAAAGAATTGGGAACTAGAGAGTGTACCGACGTCATGGAATGAGTCGATAGTTGTCCCTATCTTTAAAAAGGGTTCACGTCGTTCCTGTAACAACTATCGGGGGATAAGTCTACTTCCGATTGCGTCCAAGCTATTGGCTTCCGTCGTACTTCGTAGGTTGTTCAAAACCCGAGAATGATTGACTCGCGAGGAGCAGGCTGGGTTTCGTTCTGGTCGAGGATGTATTGATCATATCTTCACCCTCCGCCAAATGTTAGAACACCGCCATACTTATCACAGGCCAACAATCGTAGTGTTTCTTGACATCAGAGCTGCCTTCGATTCGTTGGACAGGGCTGTTCTCTATGATTGTCTATTGAAGAAGGGTGTGCCTGAGAAGTTTATTAACATCCTAAAAGCCCTATATACAAACACCTCAGGCAGAGTGAGGGCATACAACCACCTTTCTCCATTGTTCCATTCGAGCAGTGGGGTTAGACAGGGTTGCCCAATCTCACCATTCCTCTTCAACTTCGCCATCGACGACACTCTGGAAACAGTTCTGATGGATGCAAGTAATGGCGGTGGGAATCTGTTGCCTGGAGAAAGACTTCTCGACCTTGAGTATGCGGATGATATTGTCTTACTGAGTGATAATTCCCAAGCCATGCAATCCACACTTAATCAGTTGGTAATCAGTGTCCGTAGGTACGGTATGGGCTTTGCAGCTCCGAAGTGCAAAGTACTTTTACAAGACTGGCAGGATTCTAATCCTGTACTCACTCTGGATGGTGAGCAGATAGACATAGTCGAGAAGTTCGTGTATCTGGGTAGCTGCATAAGTGCTGGTGGTGGCGTGAGTGATGAGATCAATGCACGTATAGTGAAAGCCAGAGCTGCTTATGCCAATCTGGGCCATCTTTGGCGCCTTCGTGATGTCAGTCTGGCTGTAAAAGGTCGGATCTACAACGCGTCAGTGAGAGCAGTTTTGCTCTATGCTTGTGAAACCTGACCTCTCGGAGTTGAGGATGTCAGACGACTCTCTGTGTTCAATCATCGTTGTCTCCGAAGGATTGCTGACATTTAGTGGCAACACGATGTCAGTAATGCAGAGGTTCGGCATCATGTGTTCGGGCCGAGTGACGATAATTCAATTGGTGTCACCATCTTGAAACACCAACTTCGGTGGCTTGGACATGTTCTCCGAATGTCGTCTCAGAGAATTCCACGTCGTGCATTATTTGCCGACTCTGGGACTGGTTGTAAAAAGCGGAGAGGTGGTCAGTGTAAGACATGGTGTCGTCGTATGAAAAAAAGCTGCAAAGGGCTGGCTTGTGTTGGTCCTTCACGACTCCCTGGCTGGGGTCTGAGAGATGGTGCTACACAGTGGCTAGGGACGTTATCAGATATGGCTCAGAATAGAAGCCAGTGGCGATCCTGCTGTAACCTTCTTTTACTTTCTTCATAAAAAGTGGTTATGTCTCCCCTACCTGAAAGATTTCTTCTGATTGTACCTTTCCGTTCCCTCATTACTACCACACTATCTTACACCGATCTCTTCGTTAGTGTTCTCTTTTTTTGCGCTCCTTAGCTTTTTTTTCTATTCCTCTTCGGATTCTCATTGTTTTGTGTGGCGCATATATATTGGCGCTCTCTTGTACCAATATTCATGTGTTCAAATAAGTAAATAAAATCTTACTTTCGCTACCCACCACTGTTCACGATCACTGCGTAGTTTTCTTATCAGCCTTCGCTTAAGCTGCTTCCGCTCTTCGTTATGTTCAGAGCCAGATGGGGTGAGCTTCCGATCATCCATCAGCACGGTAGATGCTGCTGAGATCCAGTGTTTCTCCCTAAGCGTATGGTTCACCGTACTAGCAGATATCACCGCTGTTTCCGCAGCTTCTCGGATGTCAATCCACTCTGCCTAGGGGTGGGCATCACTTGGCTGCCTAACTGTTTTTCTCATGATAATTCTTTATTGCTTAGACGATGGACTAATCGAAAGCACAAGCCAGTCACTCAGTTGCATTTGGACCCTAGCACCATATCCTACGAATCTGCTCAGAGGGGAGGTGTTAGCGGGACATAGACTAGATTAAAGCATGCTCAATGCATGATTGCTTTGGTGCACGCTGATTGGCTGATTCTTATCCAATCAGCACTAGTTGATAGTCGGAGAATATTCTGGAATCTTCTTATGTAAAAACTATAAATATACCGACGTTTTCCCCTATTGTGCTTCCTACTGGCTTCTGACTTGCTGTTTGGAATATAATCTCTTTCTTGTTCAACCGTGTTCTGATTTGGGGACTTGTCGAGTGAATCGGTGTCCGAGAATACTAAGCAGTAGGAATAAGCTGGGTTATTAACCGTAAGAAGAAACAGAGTTATAACACGTTATTCCTGAAATAAATTCTTAGCTTGGCTATCATTAAGTTGTTCCCTAAGAGGTTTCCTTGCAGCGTCTTTCCTACGCCCAGTAAGACGTAGACAAATACGCGCTCGCACTAGAGCATGATCAGAATCCAAGCGCGTGCTCCAGAACGAGCGACAGTCTTCGATCGAACCCCTCTATCGGTGGCTTATAGCGATGTGAACTATTTGGGTCCAACGTTGGGACGAATTCTGGGGTCACCATGTCAAAAGATGGTTTTCCTTATGCTTAAAGTTAGTATTTGCAAGGAACAGGCGGTTATCTGAGCATAGCTGCAATAGACGGTCGCCATTATCTGTTCTTTGAGCCACAGCACCATACGATCCACCTAAGTGTCTTTCCCTTTCGCTTGGTTTTCCTACTTGAGCATTAAAGTCACCAGCCACTTACTATCATCAGAGCGCCTAGCTTCTCGGAGGTCGGAAAGCTTTCTGTAAAACTCATCTTTTACATCATCTGAGCTGCAGTCAGTGGCAGAATAGGCGGAGACGACGAAGAGGCAACGACGAGTATTCCTATCCTTCTGAGTCCTTACTTTTCCGTTTAGTCGAACAGCGCACAAGTGACTGTCTGCTGGAATCCAGTCTAAGAGAGCTTGTTCTGCCCTAGGACTCATTGCTATACCTACGCCGGCGAGGCCACGGGAAGCAGCATCATGGCTTCGAGATAAACGAAGCGTCAATCGAGTTGGTTCTTTATTTTGACATGGTGAGGTCAAATGAATGACGCTACTCGGATCCTGTATGCGCGTTTCAGAGACGCAGCACACATCGATGACGCGAGATTCTAAATTCCTAGCTAAGGAAGCCTGTTGTCCTATTTGGCACAGTGTTCGTACGTTAAAAGCTCCTAAGTGTAGTTTAGAGCGTGGTTTCAGGAGACCAGGAATAACGTTCCGCGTACTCGAATCGTTTGCACTAGCGGTGCGAGGTGATAAAGGGACGAGAAGGATTATTCGTGGAGATAGAGTTATTAGGAGGTGTAGGAAGGATTTGAATATGACCAACTTGGTCTCGTGTGTTGTTACGGGTATGAGGGCTGATGTCACTTCACGGCTTCCCACACCGTGGAAGGGTATTTCTTAAGGAAACACCTGAAAGGAAAGTTGGATTAGTGTCGGTCTTGACGACCTGGGGGCGTAACCACAGGGCCCAAGGGACAACTGCTTGAGGTCGGTTGCGCGCGGCCTTTTTGTGGGAGGTTTTTGACATGTTAGCTCCGTTCTTCAAAGGGCCTTACCTCCGGAGACGGAGACCCGTGAGGTAAGGTGAGGCGTGACATTTTTATGGCCGACCTTTTCTAACCCCTTCCTTCCTCGTGGGAAGGCAGCATCGCTGCAGATACTGGTTGCTCGAGGGGGACATCTTACTGCTGTCACACCCCTCTGCAGTCAGCAGTACGACTTCGCCCTCAGACCTTGAGTTGCTGCTTTTAGTCTAACCGTTCTCCAATCGACCTGCCTGGCATAGTAGAACCTACAGGAACATATGTTCCAGCCAATATAGCTCGGTCGGGTCATCACGATGGGCAATCTCGACCACCACGTCAAGGTAGCAGCTACCGTCGGGAGTACTAAATACCAAAGATATCGAACGGTTGTTGGTCTGTGTCATGAATTAACTGAACGTGAGGATGTAATTGTTTAGACTCCAGCTTAGTGATATAAAAGTAACGTGGTCGCTGCAGCAGTACAAGTTTATTTGCTTGACCCATTCATAAGACTAAATAACTGCTTAGTACCTTTTTGATTTTCGGTGATTCTTTAGTTGATATCTACGTGTAACAAAAAATCATCCTTAATAAGACTGAACAGAGCCAGCAAGTAAACAGTCGTAAGGTTATTCTGAATTCCTTGATTATGAATGGTAAATGCTTGTGATGGCACACAAACTTCACTTTTTAATGAAGCCTTAAATACATTGTGACAAATATTCAATTTTTGTCACGCATCTGCTAGTTTTTTGTTACCACTAGCCAGAAATATGTTCTACATAGGCCTTTAAATCCAGTAGAAACGTCTTAGTAAATTAGTTATCTTTCGTATCTTCACAGCATTTTAATTCATGTTCTTCGTAAGAAATATTAACTAAAGATCGAGTTCAGTACTTTTAAGGAAACTTTTTTTCTACTAGTCTCATTTTTTGTGTTTTTCGCCATTCTCTACAAATTTTAAAATGATGTTTTCTTTCCTACTAACTTCAGACTTTTGTCGAGTTTGCCGATGTGAGGGGACTGCTTCGAAACCTCTATTTCATCCTTGTTTGTGCACTGGGAGTATTAAATATATTCATCAAGATTGGTAGGTTTGTAGACATTGTTTGTGAGTTTCTTCTAACGGTAATGCTGTTTTGTTCATCCACTAAAGCAGACCTTTCAAATAAGCAATGATTTGTCATGACATTAACTCAATAATAAAACTGATAGTTTAGATATATGGACAAAACTCACAACAATTAAATCACTTGCTCCAAAATGTTTCACTTCTTTCTATCTGGGACGTCAAGTAGTGTCGTTGGTGCATAGAAATATACATGACAAGTAGCGATCTAGATTATTGACTACTTTAATATGATAGTCTTTCAGTTTGACTTCCGACTATGTTCTGAAAAGTTCAGTCGTTTACTATATCTGCATGTTATTCTATCATATTTACTCAGCATAAAACTCGTTTCAGGTTATTTTTTAAAGTGTAATCAATCATCACTGTAAAGGGAACCTGTATATGAAGAGTTGTACTTTCTCACAAAATATATATCCTTCGTGGTAGTAGCCCAGGCTTGCTTATATCTGGTCGTCTCTGATTGCTGTGTTGGAAAAACGCTGATCACTTATACTTGGAACGAGGGACCTCTGAGATTCCCACGACCCAAAAGGAAGAACACTAAGACTGGTATAAGTGAAGATTTATTAGCCCTAAAACACTATGACGACGATGACCCTAGTCTAAAATACACTCATTTATATATTGATTGTACACCCATTTTTGATTAATAATTAGGATGAAATCACACATATGAAAAATACATAAAGTTATACATAAAGCATAGTTCATGTCAATGGAATACACGAATATCATATGTTTTGCAGAATAAAATATACAAGACAATAAAACAAATACTACATTGAGTAATCATTACATTGAATCAAAACAGAAGTAGTCTTGGACAAAACTCATAATGAGTAAATCAATCGAAAATTGACTTTTCTTTCCATCATATCAGGCAGTCAGTTCGGTCAAGAGTTTTGAAGACATATTGTAGAGTACTTGCGTGCAGTCACACTTGGATTGTATTAAGTACTGCGTTAATATTTTCAAGTTGCATACCAAAGAGTACCTCATAACAATACGTAACTATCTAGCTGTGTATCCTTGATCAACCACTCTGACCGTTCCGATTTGTCATCCAAATAACTAAATATCAGTTTTATATTCAGCTAAAATGATCAAAACACAGATTTGTGAGTATTATAACTGAATCTTATTTGATAACCATGCTGCTTATTCGTATGAGGGTAAATAAATAGTTTTGATATACAACTAATTCAAGTTCATTTAGTCGTTTTTACTTTACTCTGTTGCTTATATTTCACTCGTGGAAATCATGAGTGGACCGATAACTCAGTGGTTAAAGCGTTCGAATTTCAGCCACTAACTCACGGGTTTGTAACCTGCTCCACTTTCGGTCTAGACCGCCAGGTAATGTCACAAACCCTCACACTTATGTGACCCAAAACCAAGAATATGAATCTGTATCTGATGAACTAGTTAATAATAAAAATAGAAAGATAGTTATTAGTACATTTTATAATTCCTATAATTTTTTTAGCCTCATTCGTTGGCTTGAGTATAGCAAAAGAAATACTTGTGAATTATGTAATCATCGGTTTGCTTTCACTCGAATTTATGCATCTGACACTCCACGATTTCTGCCGCTCACCGTGTTGGCTGTGGGACTGGCCAACAGCTTGCGTCGATTTGTACTAAACTGGATTCACTTGTCGATTGTCTTCACTGCATGGTTGGTTGTAGTTCCTTTATCTGCCTGTCGCATGTACCGTTGTCTTTTTACTGGTAGCGTTTTCTCACTCCTCACACTTCCATTAGACATGGTTTCCACAAAACACTTGTTACAAGATTGTGTTCAGGTAGGTTCGAATTAATTGTTTACTTAGATATTTAGCTTCTATATTTTATATTTTTTATGCACCCCGTTATTTGTTGCACACTCTTTAAAACTGAAATCTGATCTATGGAGTCTTTTAAGCATCTTTTAGCAATGACCGTTAAAAAATAATTTGGCTGGACGTTGCTAAAAAATAAAACCGTTTAGTTAAACAGCAAGTGTAGATTTTCATATCGAGTTTCACAGTCAAGAATGCCGGTGGTGGTCGTATATAGCCACGACCTGGATGCTGTTGTTTAATATGCTTACTGTAACGGCCTGATGGATCCATACTGACTGAATAACTAGTTTCTCGAGGTTCTATCATGCTAAATGAACCACTTCAAAAACCATGAAACTAAATTTGGCACATTTAAAGTTGTGTGACAACACTATACTGCTAACTGCTTCGCGGTAAGATGTTCCATAAATAACCAAAGTCGTCAGCGATTCTGGTTTCCCACGTTGGTAATTAGCATTAGGAAAAATGGGTCCTAAAAATATCCCACCCTCTGCCTCACGGATTTCCAGTCTCAGTCATAACTGTTGAAAAGTATGTAATTAATTCAACATAAAGAATCACTCATACGAAGAGTGTAATCAACCTCAAACGAATGTTCCTGGAGCCAGTACACTTTCAACAATAATAAAGTTTATTTAGAAATCTTTAAACTGAATCTTCTTTCAGAGCATGAATTGCCAATATGTGTTATCCCCTTACACTCTTCAACAGTACTTGTTTTCAACTAGTTCGCTAGTAAACCCCTTCCTCCGCTCCATAATCATCTATTCCCGTCGCTAATCCTTCTCTGATTTTATATTTTTCCATATATCGTAATATTTTTAACAGACAACTTTAACATTCAAATGGGTAGTCCACGTCATACTGTAAAACATCCACATGGGTCTTCCTGCGTCCTGTTTCATAGAACAGATAACGATGACCGCCTTCTAATTCTGTACTCAGAAAATCGTCTATTCTTAACCATTGTCTACTCTTGGGATAAAAAAGATCGTAAGATCTGACAACTTTTAGAAACCTAATGATGAGCGGATATTATTATTATTATTATCATCAGCTCTATTCAATACTATATTTTTGGAACAATATAGAATTCTCAGCGTAAAGTATTTCAACAAGTTTCCATTTCTTTCTTCTTGGTCGGTCCTGGCGATAAATATTGAGTGATCGCCACTTAGATGTTAGCAGTTCACTGAATGAACATCTGAATAATGTGCATTCTTTTCGTTGTATATTGCCAGCAACCACATTGTATCTTATTGAATTTTTTGTAACTTTGACAGCGAAAGGTTGTACACTTTTCAGAAACGCAGCAGAATAGGTCATGCGATTAATAAACATAATGATATATTAAAACAAACAAAAATAGATAACTTGTCGAAATATCTAGATGGCAGAAACAAGTAGCCCAGATGCTCAAGCAGGCCGCTGTTAAAAAGGAAATTTATGGTTCTTAATCACATATGCAGACTCTAATGTGAGTGCGCGTTTGTCAACTTTTTATTAGGCTCAGAGTAATTTCAACGGGAAGTTGGAGAGCTCAGTTCGAAGATGTAAGGTGAAAATAAACTGGTATTTAATCGACCATGAAAGAGATGTTGATATCGAAGTATCATGACATAGTTAAATCTACAGCTAAGGAACGAAGTTGCCGTACTTTAATAGCATTAGAAACATCAATTACATGACTTTCGAAATTTATAGCCAGGTATCCCTTGTCTAATCAGCGTGAATGTGAAGACATAGAAGACATTAAGTTTTAGAATAACTGTATCACTCGTCAAAATTGATACAAGTTTTCATAAATCAACCATTCTTTGGTTTAAAACCGTTTAGGCACCGGGATTTTCAACCTAGACGAGTTGTTGAGTTCGTTAAGAATCGATATTAATTTAAGAGAAGACATGAGTCGTATAGAAATGAGACGGAAAAGAGACTGAAAGCAACATAAAATATGATAAGATAATCTTAGTTTTTGTAATTTCCAAGGTTTAGCATTTTAAGTGTGTGAATGGTATTCGTTTTTATGCTAGTGATTATCATTTACTGATTGAGGACTGTAATACTATCCTAAGAGAAACAAGTGGAAATCATTTCTAATTTTCTTATTTAATTCACATAAGGATATATCTCCATGATGACCAGTCAATGAACTGCGTTCATACACCATTCTTTTCCCCAGGGCAGGGCCTATGTACATTTTTGGTTTGCAGTTAGCATTCTAAACCCCTCTACCTATACCAGCTTTAAACATCTATCGACAAGGTTAAAGAGTTGAACATCCACTCTCATTTCCTTACTCTCTGTCTCCACACAATTTTTAATTGAACAAAGTCAATCTTAACTAACATTATATGTCACAGTATTGCCGGATGCAAACTTGTCTTTTTCTATTGATCTATTCATATCATTCCTTCTTTTCTATGTCCTTCGAAATATTCTCATTTTTGTTTTACGCGGTGAATTTTCTGAAATATTTCTTTTATACTATTAAGTTTCCTCTGCATTTATTTCTGCTATACCTAAATAAATAGATTTGAGAAATATATATATATATATATATATATTCAATAAATTCCAGTGGTATAATATCTTACTTAATTTATTCATCTTAGGGTTTCATTATTGTAATCTTTGCATTGGCCGCATTTTTGGGTTATGTTTCATTGCGAGAACAACTTCTCCAAGGAACACCAGCATGGTTGGAACGTGATGCTCATGCAGGTATTTTCATTTTGTATTTTGTATCGTTTAGATGGAATTCAGTTTAATTTATCTCTGTATACAGTATTATTCTTCTCAAAATGGTTAAGGATGGATTTATTTTATTAAATCAGAATGTAGGAATATTGCACTGTTACACTACCGTGGTTTTCTACAAACATGTCTAGCACTATTATAATGTTTGTGTATACTCATCGAAGTGCTTTAACAATTCAGTATTTTCAAAATACGTAAAAATTTTGTACCATTCGGCAACATAAAAAATCATTCACCACTTAATTTTATGCGTTATGAATTCAAAGTGGTTTGGAAGTGAAAGAGAGAGTTAAGGTAAATAATCAGTTTTGAAAATCACTTCGTTACAAACCGAAGGGATTACTATAATCCATAATTAGCTGTATGATGTGGAAAACAAAGGACAATAAATATGGACATCATCTCATATCTACGTTTAAAATGTGGAACGCATGAATGGACAAAGCTGAATTTAGACAGGTTAGTAAGCAAAGATTCCAAATCGGTTGATATAGTTGTGAATCTTCATCGTATGCCTAAATATCGCCTAATTTGATGCAACTTTTTAGCTGGCGTAGGAGTTGGTTAAAAGAAAATTAGGGGTGCCTAAATCAGGAATTGGCATCAGTCCATGAAGTCACTGACTATTTGTCTAAGTCATTTTTGTCGATTCAAACTACCTGGTTGAAGTCGTCATTAGAACTATCATCAGTAGAAACAAACGGACGGTATGTTTTAGAGTCAGTTTCAGTGGTACAGATGCATTCACTGTTTATCTTCCTCTTTATTTTAAATCCGAGTTTTCCTACATACATACCTTTTCATTCTGTCTTTTAAGACCATATTCTCAATTTTCAGTCTTTCTCATTGTCATTGCTATCAGATTATTTAAATCTCTTACTATTCATCTTGTTCTTTTCACCTCGTTGTGTGAATGTATTCTGGCAACGAGCTAACGCTTATTTGTGCCAGGCTTCAAGTTGACTATGACTGACTGAATTACTGCACTAAAGATAAATATTTACTAAGGTGAAGTGCTTTAGTCGCAGTATATTTTAGATAATAACTAATTAGCGTTATATTACTTTGATCCGCCAATCAAAGTCATTTAAGAAAAATATATTCTCTAGAAAGTTTGTTAAGTTTTTTTCCATCCACATAGTTCCCTTTATTATTTTAAAGAGAGCAAGAACAAAGATTGGTGCAGAATAATATGAACTCATTTTATTTTGTTAGGTTCTCATCAGCAGCTCTCTTTAAGTTATTTTTTTATTCACAACCAAATGATTTATCCAAGTTAATTTTAAAAAGCCTATAGTATAGTTATTTTACGTCTAACTCGTTTTTACTCTTAACACAAAATGTTACTAAAGAGTACATTATGTTTTAAAAAAAGTAAATTGAGGTTTATTAGTACAAACAACCTCAACTCACTAATGGATTTTAGCAACTTGAACCGACCTACATACGTACGAAGTTCTACGTTGTGACTGACTAACCTGTACATTAGTAAACTAACTATCTACATGAAAGAAAGTTTAGCGTCACTGGATTTTCCATAATTAAAACTGGTCAGTAACTTTGCAATTTTTTTATTGTATACAAGCATATATACAAGAATTCTTCATAACATAACAGCCTTATAATAAGAAATAAACCACTATATGGTATGTACTACTTGTACGGACTGCTGTAAGTAGTATATATCAGGAATTGGGAGTAAAATTCTTGTAGACAGAAGAGGAAAATAAGGAGAAATAAAGGAAAAGCAGAATCAGTTCGAGTAGCGACAGTAGTGAAAGAACTATGGAACTTATAAGTGACAATTCAAGGAAAATGTCCAAATGATGTATTCAGTTTCGTTTTCATATTTTACGAAGTACGTAATTTTGCTTAATAATATAAATTGCTTTACTCTAACCTAGTCTTCATTCAGTACAAGCATACAACTTTTTTATTAGCTAGTATTTTATCTTCAGTAGACAAGTTTTATGTGAAGTTACATTTCAAACATATATCAGATAATCCAAGCTGAACAACCACTGAAAATTTAGAATTATAAAACTATGTAGAGATTCGTTTTGAAAAAAATTTTAGACATTCAATATTTGTTTAGGTATTTTGTCAAAAATTTAAATGTAAATTTCTTCTGTGTTTCGATCACGAATTTATTTGTGAATTCCAGAAGCTCGTGGTGCTGATCCTCCCCATCCTCCTCGTCCTGCCGCTGGGGTCAATGGTAGGCGACCTCTATTTCCGGATATTTTCAATATTTTTGGTGTTGCAAATGGTGGTGGTTTAGGTGCTGCAGTTTTCGGTGAAGGCAACGAAGATCCTGTTGAACCTGAAATATTTAACAATGATGAACAGCATCATCAGACTGTTCAACAAGAATTAGTGAATTCTGAACATATCACGTGTTCCTCTCTAAATCAACAACAACCGGTGATTAACAGTGGTATCTCAGAACCGTTAGAGCCTTCACATGAATCGGCAGATACTGTAAATCGTGGATCATCATCTAATCCACAACAATTGGCTTGGTATATGGAAAATACAGGAGTTAATTTGGAGGGGGATATTCCTGACGAAGATGGTAGAGCCAATAACGATCCAGCAGATGCAGATGGTGCACCAGAAGCTATGAATTGGAAACATTTATTGGGTCTAGATGGATCTTTAAATTTTCTGGAACACGTTTTGTGGCTTATTGCTTTAAATACTTTGTTTATTGTCATATTTGGTAAGTTTCGTGGTGTAGTAAAAGTATAATC